TATGTATTGTACTACTGTTTTCCAAAATTGGATGAATAAACACAACTCTTGCAGTCTGATTAAAGGCAAAAAAAAAAAAATAAATAAAAAAAAAAAAAATAATTGCACCACAATTGTGGTTTGCAACACATTAATTGTGGCACTATAAAAATTTCAAATAATTGATTCAATTGTAAAATAAATTTAGCCACATGTATAATTAATACTGTTTTATTTATTTTTTATTCCACTTTTCCTATCAATCCATTTCATTCATATTTATTATTATTTTATTTTATTTTTCTTTTTTCTTCTTGCTTGCAAGTACTACAAGCAATCATCACTTATAACATGTATTGTGATTTTTATTTTTTTGTTCATACCATCATCTCTTTTTCATACTTGTTTTAATAATAATATGGTCAATACATATTTTCATTGGTTATAGCCTTTGTTATATTTTCTTTTTGCATTTTCTTTCCTTTCATTCTTTTGTATACAAACTGGCTTTTCTACTAATGCTATCAATACGTTATATTATTGCACATTCAGATTTCAAGACAGTTTCATTTGTTATCAGAACCATTATGACAATAATCATCATTGTGCAGTGTATTAGTTTTGCAATGATGTCTATATATACTATCATTAATTTTTTGAGTGTATTTGTCTATCACTACTATATTTCATACCCAGGTATCCATACTTTTCTTACATTCATAACCACTGTCTCTCTCTTTATTTTGTACTCCCCATTATTTTCATCAAGGGGTCATTAGTTATTATCTCTCTATCATTGTGACATCTCCATTCACCTTCACTTGCATCAGGTCTTCTATCAATAAGTTTGTGTGTGTCACCATACTTCCCATTACCAATTATTAACTCTCAGTTCACTTTTTTTCTAGGTTCTCTCGAGTTATCACAACTTGTAATCGTAATGACACTGATTGATATTGTTACCATTTTGCTCTTATTATTTTGGAAATCTATTCTTAGTTTTTTTTTTATTTTTACAAAGTTATTGTTTTTCATTCTTCTTTTGTTATTTTTCACATAATTGTTACTTGCTAATTCTTTATTTGTCTTTTTATTAAATTCTCCCAGGTTATTATTACTTGTGATTGGGGCTGCAAAAAAGTATCAAACTGGTATCGAACTGATATTGAAATGATACTAATCTATAGTAAATTTAATATATGGGTTGTGACCTACTCATATGTTTTTATAATAAATTTAAGTATTTAATTGGTATTGAAATAGTATTGAAGTGATATTGTTAGGAGCCCTACTTGTGATTATGATATCACCAGTCAGTACTATTACTACTTCATTCCTTTTCATTAAATAGACATCTTATTTTGTGAGTATAATTCTATTATCATTATTATAATACCTATCTGGCTTCCTTAAGGTAAGTTAAATCATATTATATTGATTTTTCTATGTTCTATTATCAAATTCCAATTTTTTTTTTTTTTTAATAGATTCAATGGTATTGACAAATACAATTTTATTATAACTGTTCAACCTATTCTTATACTTGTCTGGTATTTTTATAGTAGGTTCTTCATCAACCCGATTCAATTCCCTAATTTCAAACATTTCTGACATTATGTCTCTTTACATTGATTCTGTTCTCTTACTGTATCAGCTCTTCTCGAAACAAATTTTAGTTACAATCAGGTTTCTTCTCGAGTTTTATATCTTATCATTATGTTTTTTTGAGGCTGGTATAGTTTTGTACTAGGTACTTTGTAATTCATTTTCTTATTGGTCATCCCTTTCTTCTTATAATGACATTCTTTTATTTGGTTCAAAGTTACTAACTTATCATTTATTCCTGGTTTCTTTTGGGCTTCTACTGCATTAATATTTCTCTTGTTGTTTTTGGATTCTTTCACTTTTACTCTATCACCCAATACTCTAATATTTTTACTGTTTACTGCCAGAGTTCTTTTATAAGTAAGTTTTATTTTCTTCTTACTTAGTCTCATAAGTATATCCTTTTTTAATTTCTTTCGCATTCTCCTTTCTAGGATCTTGTCTAGAGTTTCTTCAGTTTTGAGACTCTTTTTGTTGCTTTTAGTTGTTGAAATCTGTTCACACATATTTGATATTTCAGCATCATTATTTTTTATAACCAGCATCCTGCTGCAAATAAGTATATTATTTAATTCAATTAGTTCATTACTAGTAATTAGTTCTGATACTAATTTATTCTCACTTCTCTTTCTTTTTTTGTCACTGAGCTTTTCTTACCATTTGCATATACTAAGATTTCTTGGTCACTCAACATCTTGGCATCACTATTCTTCAGGATCAGCACTTCATTAAGAATATCTTTGCCTTCTCAAGGACCTTTTTTCTTATGTACAGTTGGCAAGCTTTCGGATATAATTTATTTCAGATAGTTTTTTCTTTTCTTATGTTATGATCGCAGTATCTTGGAACATAAGAAATATTTTTCCAGCTCTTGAATTTCTTGTAAAATAGTTATTGTGAGCAACAAGTAAGTATTCTATTCTTCTACTATATCATTTTAGTGTTCTATGCTTGTGGATCAAGTTATTGGTTTTTTTACAATTCCAAACTTACTCTTTTTTTTTGCTTATCATTTTTATAAGTAAGCAGATCTTGCTGATCCTTTGTCCAGTGGGTCATCAAAAAGGTTCAGCCAATTTATTTTTTTAAATTTTTTTAATATATATATAATACAGGTTTTTTTCTTTTATTTACATTAAATAAACTCATAATTCGACTATAAACACGATAGCTATAAATATGATTAAACCTTTATCCTTGGATCAGCATGGCACGATCTTATACAGACACACTCGAGGCAATACAAGTCGAACTATTGCCAGCAGGCTAGGATGTAGAAAAAGTATGGTTAATGACATCATTAAACACTTTAAAAAAACTGGAACAGTCATTCCGAATAAATCACCAGGTAGACTCCTGCTTCTTATCTCTTTTGATCAAGTCCAACTCAAGAATCTCATCACGAACGACAAAGAAAATAATTGCCATTTGTCTGCCACAAAAATTAGAAAAGTCTGGTTAGTACATACTAAAAAAACTATCTCTACTATCACTATTAGATGGAACCTAAAAAAAATAGGACTTCAATTTTGCAGGTCCTACCTGAAACTGTATATCTTTGAAACGAATCGTGAAAAATGTTTAGAATTTGCTCTCCAACATAAATGCTGGAAACCTTGGCAATGAAAAAAAATTTTATTCTCAGACAAATTCACATTTATCCTATTTCAATGTAGTGATCAAATTTGGTGAGAAGCAAATGAAGAACTTAAGCTATCCTGTATTTCTGCTTTGGAGAAACACAGTCCAAACCTAATGTTCTGGAGGTGCTTCGCTTATGGTGGCTTAGGTCCTATTGTTCCTCTTTATGGATCAGTTACTGGTGCTGCACATATTAAAACTGTTAAAAAATATGTCGTACCCACCATACAAAAATTTTTTTCATGTCGTGGTATTTTTCAGAAGGATAATGCAACGCTGCACAAGTCAAAAGTCGCCATGGCCATTTGCGAAGCTCATAGAATCAAAAAATTATCATGGCCTCCCCAGAGCCCTGACCTGAATCCTATAGAGAATTTATAGCATAAAATGAAAGAGGCAATTCATAAAAAATCACCTGCTCTGTCAAACCTTAAAGAATTAAAAAAATATGTAAAACATGTATGGAAAGATCTTCTGTTAGAAAAAAAAAAAAACTCTTTTCCATAAATCATTTTTCACCTGAAAATTTCCTTATTTGGTAATAGTCTTCTCAAGAAACTTTTACTTCTCAAGCACTT